AACAAAGCAATCCAATACAATGTACAAATCAATCGGTCTAGCAAAGTGACCGTCAATTTTAAGTAGCAGTCTGACACACAACACTACCATGTATGACAATGGATATTAGGAAATATTTGAATGCTGCAATTGAATCAGAATCAAATATTCCAAAGAGTTGTGTAATAATAGAAATTTCCTTGATTGGAAACTTTTGTTGACAATAAATGAAAATTTGATTAATCATGCTTAAAAATTAGGCATGATAAAAATTCTTCATTGGCATACATCTAGAAATTAATTGGATTACCCTGCCAAATTAAATGTATTATCTTTATTATATGTGCTTTTGAAGAATAAGGGCTGTACCAACATGGGCTGTGTTTGTAATAGCATACTATCATATCATGCTATTTCTGAAGTATATAGTCTATATACTATGCACAGCATGCTAATTTTCTATATGAAGGGAATACCCCAGATGACCTACTGCAGTTGCTAAAATATGCATTATTAAAGAGAGCACTCTGTGTCAAATACTATATCCCACAATGCATTACACTAGATGTAATGAATAGAGCAGAAGTCAAACTTGTTGTCATTTTAACATCTTGTTCTTGATTCATAATTTGATAAGATTAAAGATTAAAAGGCATTTTGAAGCCAAGATTAAAGACATTTTTACAAAAAATCAGCAGGGATGCAACAATGTTAAAATTTTGTCCAATACTAATAAAATGATATTTATTTTCATGTTATGGCTTAAGAATTTCATGCTAAATGGAAATTATATTATAGTGTAATAAATTACTTGTGCACATTATAATCTGCAGTATGAAATTTAATAGTCACTGAGATTGTGGTATTAAATTATTTTTTTATTTTGAAAGATTAAACATGACAGCAAAGGTAATCTAAATGCAAATATAGGAGAATAAGCATGTAACATTACATATCTGAAAATAAGCTGACTTATATTTCATAAATTTAAAAAATCTCTATTATCAGCTGATATGGTACTGATAAGACGTGCATCCCATATGATATGCAATATTTTCAAGATAATTACTGCATACCGTACATTTGCTGATTTAAACATGCACAACTGTTTGAAATGTTAATGACTGCATAATGTTCTGTTTCATATACCATTTGTAAAGAGGCAGTATTCAGTATATACTATGCAGTAGTCAGTAAGCAGTAGTTTTTCTTTCAGAGCACAGCTTGATATTAAGACTTATGTACTTACACAACTCAAAATATACTCTTGAATGGCAGGTGGCGTGTGCCTGAGTTGTCATGTCCAAGGAGATGCACTTCGTCACTGGATGGACTGCTTGAGGAACAAGGGTCAAAGGGTGGAGCGCTGGCACATTCTGACCAATGAGCTGCCTCAGACCACCTGCCATGATTGAGGAAGAATCCTGCCAGGAACGAGGAAATCAGTCATGATAGGTTAATTGATTTGATTGATATGAGGTGGACATGGAGATAATTATATGAGCTAACTAGGGGCCAGGATGTTGGAAGTAAATTAAACACTTAGTGCTGTTTAAAAGGGAAGTGGAGGATGGGCCACCAGTTGTCTTCTGACTTGGTGTCACTCAAAGTGAGTCCCCGCCCCTTTCACCCACTTCTCTCTCTCTCTCACACGCTCATTGCTGCACGTTTTCTACACATTTTGTAACGTTGAAGTGTATTTTATTCTTATGAAATCTTGTGTAGCACAATTCTCTTTTTTGACTAACTGATTACAATGTATTTCAATGTCCAGTGCTTTCGTAATGCTTGCAGACAGCGCATCTTTAACAAAATACGGGGGTGCATGTAAACTGCCTGCCATAAATGCATCAAAATGATATACACATGCTATCGCCATGACAACATGGGAAGGTCTTTAAGGGCTTGCCCTCTCAATGTTGTCAATCATATTTAAAACGAATACAATTTCATCAGGAGCAGGTTTATGTGTGCTGCTAACAAATAGACTATCCATTTTGTAGCATGATGCAATGTTTACATTTTTTACTTTGCACCAACTGTGTTTTCCAAGGTCTCAAATTTGGCGGTTTTCAATTTCCAGTTGTTACTTTTCTTTAAAAAGGGGTTTTATGGACATGCTACAATTTGATATCGCATATGTTAATTACTTATATATTTTTGGAATCAAATGTTTATATGTGCCATATACTAGGACAATCTGGAGTGCGTCTGCATGCGTACGCGTGTGTGTCGTCTGGTTGTTTTGTACCAAAAAAGTGCAGTATTCTTGAGGCTTTGTGGTTTACATTTATATGAAGTGATTATGTACAAATTGGAAATACATTTGAAATGCATTGCTCTTTAAGATGTGCGTCATTTCCTTGCATCCTCTTGAAGCAAGCTTAGAAACCTCTTAAAGGGGTCATATGATGTTGCTAAAAAGAACACTATTTTGTGTATCATCATATGACCCCTTTAAGAATTACGATTCGTAATCGCTCCGGCAAGCAGAACATCTATCATGGCACACCACCAACATATAAGCACACTTCATCTGAATGATCTCATTCGCAAAGGCTTCATTCTGGGAGTTATTGTGGCGTTGTTCTAGCAATTGTGGATTTGGGTATCTTTACACCAATAAGCAATAAGATACTCTCTAAATGGAATTCCAAACCAAGATAATATCAGCCTTTCCTACTGTGAAAAACCACTGCTCTGATTCTGTGGTTCTTCAAGATGCATCTGGTTGATTATGTGTTCAATGAGTAAATGGTAATTAGACGGCCACTTAACAGCACACCACAGTGAGGTAAATGTGTCAGTGTCACTGTATCTGACCCGGGGCATTGCCACTATCATCATGCACCCCAGCAGTAAACATTTTGGATGTCTCCCTTATCTGACATAACCATTTCAGGTATTGGAGATGAGTTTGATTAGGTGTGTTTGATTATATTTTTTTTACTCGCACAATTTCTAGATTATAAAGTATTTTAGATCTTGGCATAACTAAAAATGTCTTTATATAAAGTCTTCATTTATTTATTATAAAAATCCTCATTGAGTTATAAGGTTTTATTAATTTACATGTCATTTTCAGGTCTGCAAATCAAACTTAAAAAATTAGGATAAGTTTTTTTTATTGTTTGTTTATTTGTTTTTTCTTAAGAGAGAATGGGTGTTGAGGGGGTGAATGTAATTAAGAAATATCTTGATTTTTAGTTGTTTTGGCTCATTTTAATGCTTGTTTTGACTTGTTTAAAATAATTTTAAGCCATCTGAGGCCCCCTTAAAAGTTTCCTAAGGCCCCACCTTGTTAAGAAACACTTAGCCTTAAAAGGTATTTTATCTAATAAATTAAGATTATACCTCAAGTCATACTGATTGTAACTTTTTACATACTGATTGTAACTTTTAAAGAGTTAGTTCACATAAATGTCAGCATTCCTAAATTCTTAAATCATTTACTCACCCACAAACCTGTATGATGTTCTTTCTTATATTTAGCAGGATGTCTAAGCTGCTCTCATCCATACAGTGAAAGTGGATGGGTATCAGGGGATGTCAGGCTCCAAAAAAGACGAACGTGATAAAAGGATCATATACATCTTATTTGCTATATTAGAGTAAAGACCAGTCCAAAACATTCACTGAAAATTTGACCTTACCTTACCACAGAAGAAAGTCAGTCACACAGGTTTGGTACAACATAAGTGTAGGTGAATGATGACAGAATTTCTATTTAAAATCATAATGAGTAAAACAAGCCCTCAAAGCAGTGGTACTCAACCAGTGTTTTCCATAAACATTTTAGACATTGTTGTAGACAGTGGGGGCCTTCGAGTAAAAAAAGTTTGAGAAACACTGCCTTAAAACTTTTGTAATGGATAAAACTTTATCCATATCTCTTACGTGAAAACTTTCAGCAAAAGGGTGAACATATGCCCCGGCTCTGGTTCAACAAATCAGATGACATAGTTAGGAAGTAACTACACTAAACTTGAAATGGTTTGTCTTATTCTAAAATTGCTCAACATCGCCACCTAGTGGGATCTAGTAGAAACTTAAACATTTGAATTTAAATTTTTTAACATTATATAAACCTTAAGCTGTGACACAGGACCACAAAACCAGTCATAAGGGTCAATTTTTTGCAATTGAGATTTATACATCATCTGAATGAATAAGCTTTCCATTGATGTATGGTTTGTTAGGATAGGACAATATTTGTCCGAGATACAACTATTTGAAAATAAAAAATAAAAAATACTGAGAAAATCACCTTTAAAGTTGTCCAAATGAAGTACTTAGCAATGCATATTACTAATGATAATACATTTTTGATATATTTACCATAGGAAATTTACAAAATATCTTCATGGAACATGATCTTTACTTAATATCCTAATGATTTTTGGCATAAAAGAAAAATCGATAATTTTGACCCATACAATGTATTTTTGGCTATTGCTGCAAATATACCCCAGCGACTTAAGACTGGTTTTGTGCTCCAGGGTCACATATACTGATCACCCTCCTGTAGGGTTTAGTTAAACACTGCCTGAAATGTTCAAGTGAACCTGAAGATCTTGATCCACTTGTTCAGATGTTCAAAGTGAAAAATGAAAATTATTTAATTTCAAACTTACGACTTATGACAAACTTGTGTCTTTCTTTTGTGGAATGTAAAGGAAGATATTCTGAAGAATGTTGGTAAACAAACAGCTTCGGTTCACATTGACTTTCATTTTATGGGTAAAAAAACAGTGGAAGTCAATGGGAATGGAAACTGTTTGATTACCAAAAATCTTCAAAATTCTTCTTCTTTATGTTCCACAGAAGAAAGAACTCGGGTTCTCTATTCCATTCTCGGGTGGACTAGAGTTGGAACAACTTTTTTAGAAGGTTTCATTCAAATATGATGTTTTGCACATTGTTTAATAGGTCTTATAGACATTCGTCTGCTGATGATAGAGAAAGCCAAAAGAGTAAACACTCTGTCAAATCTCTAATCAAACAATTTAATTTAGCATACTAAAAGCAGCAGAAAACAGCTGGCAATACTGGCACTTGTTTGTTGCCTCCTACTGGTGTGATGGCAGGGGACACGACAGGAACATGAAATGAATTTCAACAACATCATCAAACACTATACTCGAAAGGTTTTCTGAGGACATGAAGATCAACATGTGACTTATTATATTGTTCAGCGTCTCTCATTCCTGCCCACAACATGGCACATTTTACATGTCTCTATTATCTAGCACTGCTGATAGTAATCAGGAGCAGGAAAACTGCGACTGCACATGTCACGATCACTAGGGAAACCTTCCCATGAGTCTCTCCTGTAGCTTAAGTTCTGTTTAATTTGGCTGCTGAAGCAGAAACACCATTGCCTCACCTATTATGAACACGCATGTGATTTCGACAGGTGTAGGCATCCTTAAAGCTACGCGCACACACAGGACAGTCAAACAGACGAAGCTGCAGATGCACGCGGCTGTGGTTCCTCAGAGTCCCGTCATTGTTGAAGCGTTTCCCACACTGAGCACAAGCGTACGGCTTCTCCCCTGTATGAATGAGCATGTGCACCTTTAGCCGTGAATGATGCGGGAATAGTTTTCCACACTGTGGGCATATGTGCGTCCCAGGACCTTTGACTCTTCCTCGTCCCCGTCCTCTTCCCCTACCCTGCCTGAACGCCGCGTGACGTTGGGGGTTGACCGCAACGTTAGCTATACCGAGATGACCGCTGCCGCTAATAGTGTCGTTCCTGACTGATCTTGAGTCTGTGTTTTGATGAGCGGTGTTGTAGTTGACATGAGCTACGCCTGATTCAGGACAAGTGGTCTTTAACACATTTTGGCTTATTTTACTGACGGATACTTGCAAGGTTTTAGGCTTTAGCTTCGTACATTTAGCTGAACTACGCGATTTTCTGTGGAATCTGTCAACTCGAAACTCGAAACTGTAAATCGGGGGAAAAGTCATGTAGTATATTCCAGCCTTTAGGCTGATTTTAGAACACACTGTTTTCATTTGCCTCCTAGCAACAAGGCCAAAGTTTCTATGTGAGTTTCGGCAATCTGTTTCTAACCAATTATAAAAGTCAGTGTAGTGTATTCCAGCCTTACAGCCAATGGTTTAGGGTTCAAATATTTTCATAACTGGCCCTTAAAGTAAAACATTTATAGACATGGGTTGGTTTGGGGCCTTAATTACACCCAAATAAATAAGGATTATATTCTATTATAAGCAGTGAGTGTCCAATTTTATAGGAGATTCCTATAAAATTCCTGTATTCCTGTAGCTATAAACATAAAGCATGGCCTAAAATTAACATATTGGCTACCTAGGAGAATCCTGAAAAGTGGCATAGACATAGGTCTATATGTAATATTCCCTGTTCCCTACATGAAATATCTTAAACATTACAAACATTTAAACATGTAAATGATAATTTTTTTAAAGGATAAGTTGGACCAGACCGTGAAGGAACAAGTGACCGACATTCATGGAAACTCAATACTGTTTAAGACAGTAAAAGTAAAATTGCTTTGGTTTGTTTCTCATTTTAATCAGTACATAATTTTCATACTTTCCTTTGTGTTAATTCATAGTTTTGAAGACTTTACTGTTATTCTGACAAAGGAAATAGTAATAAAAAAGAGTGAGAAGGTGTGTCTAATCTGATCATTTATACAGACTGTGTATCAAATTGATGTACGTGATTAATTTGACACGAGTTACTGGTTTATAAATATTACTTTATAAACATTACAAAATATAATAAATATTATCTATATTAAATATTTGTTTATTAGTTTATAATACTATATACATGTAGAACTTCCCTTACAACAAATTAAATACCTGCCTGTAAAACCATAATACATTTACGTTATCTCCTACAAAAAGCTTTGAGTTTTTCTGCCATTGTGTTTAACTTTTTCATAACAGAGGTGGCTGTATTTTTACTGTTATAACTATGTTATTTCGGCGGAAACCATGGTTTCCACGGTAATATGCGTAAATAACGGCTGTAAATAACGTCTGACTTTGGCAGAACGCATTATTTTCTATTAAGGGTCGATGTACCGTTTGACTCGACGATTTTCTCGATCTCCTTCAGTCTCTTCTTCAGATACTCGTTGTCCTTCTGCACGCTGTCCAGCTCTTTTTCATACTGCAGGACAGTCCCGCCGATCATGTCCATGATTTCATTGAGCGTCGCCATTAAGCGCTCCGTCAGAAACGTGTTGATGACCTGCAACTTTGTCATTTTGCTGTTAGCTCGCAGTAAATGAAGTTATTTTATGTTCGTCGTACAGCAAGGCAGAATGTAAACACTCGTCCCTGTGCGGTCATATGACCATGTATATGTTCCTCTAACAGGGTTGCCAGGTTTTCACAACAAAACCCCGCCCAATTGCTACTCAAAACTAACCCAATCGCATTCCTAGGATTAAAATACACGGTTGTTGTTGTTTTGTGGCGGGGTTCCCCTGGGAAAATGCGTATTCCAGGGGATAAATACCACGTTTTTGGGTCGCTTCAAACCGCGGACATGATAAACAACCCGCGGCAACAGTTAAAGTAGCCCAATATCCCGCGGTAAAACCGGGGACCTGGCAACACTGCTCTTTAACCACAGAAATAAACCGATTCAGCGCCTACCAAAGGAGAGAAGTGGATTAGAAGGTGAGGAAAGAACTGTTATCACTTCTTCTTCTTCTTCTTCTGTTGATTTATTGGCCGGTTGCAAACCAACTAGACAGGTGCATTATAACGCCACAGTCATTATCGCCTTTATTGTTCTACCAGTTTCAGGCCCAATATTAAAAAATACAGCACAAAGTGAATTCTGTAATTCCAGAAGCTTATAATTCTTTTACAAGTTTAATTCCTTCCTTCCTTGTCCATATTTGGCACATCTAATTAATGTTTATTTTTCTAATACATATTACATAGACCTGTATTGTGTTTGCCTATAGTGTGAAGTGTGGCATTTAGTTATACTTAATTTTGTAAATATAATATATTCCTTCCTATTTACGTTATGACTAATTTTAATTAGCTTTGTTACTTTGTATTCTATGCAAATGTCTGCCTGTCTGACACATGTCCCAGTACTTCTGTGTACTTCCCAGTTGTGTGAAAACATGATTCTGTTAGTCATGAGACTTTCTCATAATTATGACTTAACATTTCATATTGAAATTCTCATAATGATAGCTTAGTATAATTATGAATTATGATGACTTATCCATATGTCTCATAATTGAGTCAATGTTGTAAGTATATATAATTATGACTTAGTATAATCTCATAATGAGAAACTTTCTCATAACAACTTCACATCTCATAATAAGAAACTAAGTCATTATTACGAGAAAGTTTCTCATTATGACTTTCAGAAACTTTTTTTTTTTTTAACTCAACTCTGGGCAGAAAGGGGCAAAAATACAATGCTTGAGCTTTGTTTACACCTACATAAACCTTCTTTATTCATGTTCCTATGTCTATAAATACAAGATTTGTAAGTTGAACAAACTTTAAAAAAAATTTTAAAACAAACAACTAAATTCTCAACACGCTGTTAAACCAGGATTAATTTATTGCAAAAATGAGTATAAAAGACAAATCAAGTTCAAAACCTCAAACATTTTACATTTCAGTGGGGTGGTAAAATATTCTGTAAATGTCTGTAAAATGATTAAATCTCTTTTGTATTACAGTTTTCTTTGATATTATTCATGCCCTAGCTAGTATGTACATCCTGTTATTTTTTTAGACAATACGATGATGAAGTTACTTACAAGCTAAAGATTGTGATGTTTTTTCCAAACAGTACGATTCTATAAAAGTGACATGTGGCCAAGTATGGTGACCCATATTCGGAATTAGTGCTCTGCATTTATCCCATCCAAAGTGCACACACACACAGTGAACACACACACACCGTGAACACACACCCGGAGCAGTGGGTTACGAGTCCGACTCTCTAACCATTAGGCCACGAATTCCCCCACTTCTACTCTGTCTGTAACCGTCTGTACGTCTGTAACCATAATCAAAAAGCTTGGATGATTATTGTGTGCATAAATTTCTGACTGCCCTATCTCAACCCACTCCGTATGATGTAGATTTTTCAATTCGTTTGAAAACACTCAAAGGTTGGCCATGATGCACAAAAGCCAGTGTCCACACTGGCTGAGAGTGGTTTAGTGGTTTTCACACAGTCTTTCTCGTAATCTCTTTCATTCGTCTCTTCTTAGCACTGCCAAAGATTAGCGCATTTCCTGCAGGAATAACACAAAGATAATGTCTGGCTTTCCTCATATTTATCTTATTATTTAAGCACCATAAAAGTAGTTGAACAGAAAATACTGTACAACAGCATATATATATATATACACAGTATCTCACAGAAGTGAGTACACCCCTCACATTTTTGTAAATATTTTATTATATCTTTTCATGTGACGACACTGAAGAAATGACACTTTGCTACAATGTAAAGTAGTGAGTGTACAGCTTGTATAACAGTGTAAATTTGCTGTCCCCTCAAAATAACTCAACACACAGCCATTAATGTCTAAACCGCTGGCCACAAAAGTGAGTACACCCCTAAGTGAAAATGTCCAAATTGGGCCCAAAGTGTCAATATTTTGTGTGGCCACCATTATTTTCCAGCACTACCTTAACCCTCTTGGCATGGAGTTCACCAGAGCTTCACAGGTTGCCACTGGAGTCCTCTTCCACTCATGACGACATCACGGAGCTGGTGGATGTTAGACACCTTGCGCTCCTCCACCTTCCGTTTGAGGATGCCCCACAGATGCTCAATAGGGTTTAAGTCTGTAAATCAGAACAAATGATAGCGTCAACATTTACCATGTTTCATCCGAAGGTGCTTTAGAAGAGCCGACGTTGTGTATTCTTTGCGACCACGAGATATGACGGCCCTACACATAAGGCACACTGCTTTGCTACAGTCTCCCTCTTTTAGAGAGAAATACTTCCACACCGGGCTTGATTTTGCTATTGTCCTCTTTTGCATTTCACAGCATTTACTGCTACAGTAAGCCCTGTTTGTACATAATATGTTGTGATATGAAACGTGATTGGCATCATGAGATGAGCTGTTATGCTGAGATACTGTGGCAGGAGCTTCGCTGTCAGCGTATGTTGGCTGGTTTGGGTGCTGTGCTCTGTAGATATCCGATGTCCCTAAAGGCAAATCTGGGCTGTGTGGCGACCAGCTCTGATATGCATCTTCAGTGCTTCCCATTGCATCGCCTGAACACAAGCTGGAGTTCATGAATTCAACTTTGATTTTAGATGAGAAATGACAGTTTGTCATTTCATCCTCAATAGGATTTGTGTTGGTGTGATCAGCGCACATGTGTGAGCCCTCGTCGTAGGTGGCTTTTGATGGCAAAGCTACAGATTCCCTGTAAACATCGACAGAGTACTCAGGCTTTTCCGGTTTTATGAACGGGTGTTGTTCACCGATCCTCTGGCTTTGGTCCTGCTGGATCTCTTCAACGGGTTCTAGCTCCTCATTCTGGCTGCAGATCCATCTGGGCTGCCCAGGAGAGAAGGGCTGATAAGACTGTACAGGAGCTGAGAAAAAAAACATAACATTTTCTTCATGCAGATAAAAAGATATAGTAGACCTGAAAATCCATGTGAATCTGTAATGTTCCCTACAGCTACAATATGGATATAGTATTGAACATTCCTTGATGACATTAGACTTGAAGACGCATAGCTTTTGTTCCTCTGTGTAGTTTATTAATAAAACACAAAGCTAGAACAGAATATATTAAAGGGCTCCTCCTCACTTTTTTAATAGAAGAACCAATAGTCTTAGTCGTGATGAAACAGAGGTAGCGACAGATCTTTTCTTCCGTATTGTGATGTACATTCGAGTGAAACAAATTAACGAAAAATAAAAATTCTAAGGCAGGGACTGAATTCTATTCATTGGCTGTTGATTGGATTTTGAGATGTGGGCATTGTACTCTATAATGCAAGCAGGTGAATTCTAGCTTGCAGTGGGATGGTTTAAGTGGACTAAATGATTGAGGAAGACATGCATAAGTCTCCAGAGAAAAGTCATTACACCAGAAGAACGATTTATGATATTTTGATTATTATGAGGTCAAAAAAACAAAACAAAAAACATATGCATAGATTAATGGCTCACAATAAGATCAATAATACGTTAAATAGATGTTAGAATATAGATGGGGTGGATTTTCATTTCAAGTCAAGTTTTAACGTCACAGCAGTGAACCATCATTCGCTACTAGTTGTTGTGAAAATTATATTCTGGAAAGCATTTTGTTTGGACAAAAATTGGACACGCCCACGAGTGCATGATATGAGTCAATAATATTTCTGGTTCTTTTTCCCGAAAGAAACTGTAAAAATGCGTAACGTATATTTAATAAAAGTTTTGTCAACTTTTAAGAGTAGGCTACACTGAATTAAAAGCCACAAAACTCAATTTTTATTTAATGTTTTGCTTAACTCGTGCAATACATTTTTTCATAATATTTTTACGGTCTGTGTCGATTCCCACATCCTCGAACACCATGTAATCAAGAATAGATACATTTATGAATGACCTCGTGGTCATGGACTCGTGCCCACAACCAAAACAAACGGGGGGGGAAAAAAAAAATTCTGATGAAAAAAAAATATATAATTCCAGATCAAAATGTTATGCCTTATTCAAAACATGATATAACAGAAACATTAACCCTGGTATTTTGTAGAGTTGAATAATTTAATCGTCTTACCAGCATTTGCTTGTTCACTGAAACACCCAGAGTCTCGCAACATTTCTTTCAGTCGCTTGTTTTCGCTCCTGATTCGCTCCGTTTCCTCCTCATACTCCCGAACCGTTCTACCGACTGTGAAGATGATCTCCTTCACAGCAGCCATCAAGCGCTCGGTCATGAAAGTGTTCAGACGATCCAGTTTAGTCATTTTACTACTTTATTTCAGGTCTCTGTATTTAAACAATACATACAGACAATACAGGTACCGTTAACAGCACAGAGACGAGCGCGTGAGTCTCCTCTTTTTTCTGAGTTGTTTTCGTTCCGCGTCTGACCTTCAAATGTTTAAAATATAAAGAGCTTATGAAGAGAGTTTGATCTTAATGACATCCCCAGAAGAAGATTTGAAATTCACAGGTTTAGACTGATACATGTAATGAAATTAGTTGCACTTCATAGTTAAACATCAAATGCAAATTCTTTCAGATGTAGGACATTTATAATACTTTCTGGTGTGACTTAGGTTACAACACTGCATGGCTTACCATCAACACAAACAATCCGCAGTTATTTGAATTGTGTTGTCTGGGAATGCCCTGAAAATTACAACAAGAAAAAAAACAAACATTCAAAATCTGTTATCATTCAAAGAAATGCATTTACAATCTGTGAAAATGTAAGGACATAAAAGGGCACATAGTACTATACTGTACTGCATGGGTTAAAGGGTAAAAATATATTATTTTTTGCTGCATCTCACTGTTGCTTCTACATCACGTTGGTGCCCTAAAGTAAGGAAATCCATCCTGGTGAGGACTGTAGTTCCAACAGATGCCAAAAATTCATCGGCTGGTCCCGTCTCCATTAAGGCATGGTTTAGCTATGAAAATAACAGCAAAGTACTACAATGTGTCTTTTTTTGTTAGTCTTAAAACAATTTAAAAAAAACTAACAGTAATTTAAAACAGCGAGGAGTACTTGAAGCCTTTGGCCCAATAACTTCATCATTTCTTATGAGCTATATTCAGTCATAGCTTCACACTCATGCACAACACTTGTAGTGATAAACAGAGAATCTAATAAACATAGTTTTATGAGATGTCATAGTGGCTCACAATGAGACTGGAATAAAAACAAAACAAAATCTGAAACAAGAAAAGCAGTTCTCTGTGGGGCAGTCTTCCAGTTTAATCGCAATTCATAGATAAATAAAACACACTAGTGCCTCAGCAGTGTAAAATTTATATTTAAATAATTTTGCCTTTCAAGTGAAAGTATGGATTCTGAGAAAAGGGTCAAATTATCTAACAAAATGCATACTTGAGTGAAAGTAAAAATGTTACCACATTTAAATGTACTTAAATATTTAAAAGTTAAAAAAAAACGTTTGGACAAATGAAATCATGACAGAGGAGATTTAGTCATTAAGTCACAAACTCCATAAACCGGTTTTATTACCCAGATGTTTTACTGAAATCAGTATCCTGAAACTTGTTACCAGCAATTAAAACTTCACATTTAGTTGCTGATTTTATAGTTGTTTATACAAAATAATCAAAAGTGACAGCAAAGACATTTATGATTGTACATTTTTGTGTATATATTATTTTTTATATTTTATATAGATTTAGATTTCAAATAAATGCTGTTGTTTTTTATATTTTCTATTCATAAAAGAATCTTCAAAAAAGTATCATGATTTACACAAACATTAGGCAGCACAACTGTTTTCAACAACATTGATATGAAATGTTTCTTGAGCACCAAATCAGCTAATTAGAATAATTTCTGAAGGATCATGTGACTCTGAAGACTGGAGTAATGGCTGTTATGTCTAGTGTCTCAGCTTTGGAATGAGTAACTGAAAACTGCCTTAAGTCACATATCAGATACCAAAAAAGACCAATATACCCTTAGATTCCTCTAACTTTTTTTATTCTCAATCTGGAGTTATTAAACATATGCTATGATCTGTACAATACAGCAGGCTGAAATTAATCATTCCGTAAAAGTACTGAACCCATTAGATTGAGACAACATTGTAAAACATATTTAAAAAACAAATAAATATGTTTTGAAAAAACATAACACCAAGATGTAAACAATAACTTCTCGCAATCCGTGTCATAGTCTTTGACTTTGCTGTCCTGCTTCTTCAAAGTGGAACTCTCTCACCTATGTGTCTAAAACAAAAGCATCTTCAGTCAAAAAAAAGTTAGAAGCTTTAATGGACAGATAAGAATACTTATTGTGTCTTTTGATGCTTTTTAGGGTTGCATGACCAGCAGTAACTTTACCTTGCTTTGTGGCTGAAACTTTTCCCCCTGTGTCATCTGTAACAGCATTTGGTAAATCCTCAGGACTCTTTGTTGATGGCTGTCAATAAAACAAGAATGTCAATTCCATTCTCTTATAAGAACAAAGCATTTCTCTACAATATGATGTCATCATCCATGATCAGTGACTACAAATGAAAGGAGAAAACACCACCGTTTATCTTTTGTTCATTGAAAATACTGGCTGTATACTGGATACTGGAACAGTTCTGCTCACGTGTTAACATAACCCGTATTACTCATAAAAAAACCATAACTATATAGAGGTTCAAAGTATCTTTTAATGTAAAGAATCTACTAATAGAGAGTGAAGAACAAAGTTCAGAATGTGTCATTTAACAATTATATTTACCTGATTATGGACACGTGAGCACCACTTCCTCCTCTTCATCCCTGTTCCATAAGTTTGGGCTTTCACGCTACTCTTGTGAGTGTCATTAGACACAGTTTGGGCATTTTGAGGTGGACTTGTGTTAACATAACCCGTATTACTCATAAAAAAACATAACTATATTGAGGTTCAAAGTATCTTTTTATGTAAAGAATCTACTAATAGAGAGTGAAGAACAAAGTTCAGAATGTGTCATTTAACAATTATATTTACCTGATTATGGACACGTGAGCACCACTTCCTCCTCTTCATCCCTGTTCCATAAGTTTGGGCTTTCACGCTACTCTTGTGAGTGTCATTAGACACAGTTTGGGCATTTTGAGGTGGACTGAAATCATCACATGGATTTCTGAGAACATCATATTCTGGGTGAGGACTGATGGAGCTGGTGTCTGATGTTGGTGTCACTGCCCTTTCTTGATCAACATCACACTTTGGGAGACTTACTCCTTCATTCTTACAGTCTGTTGATTCTTGACCAGTGCTTGGATTGGGAGAACGTCTGAATTGTAAAAAGGCACCCTCTGCCTCTCTATTGTTTCTAACCTCCTCATTTGGACTTGAGATGTCTGGTCGCTCTACATTGCAGCTGCGGTCTGGAAGGGAAGAACTTCCTTGTTCATTTTCAAAATCTGTTTCATAGACGGTATTTAGGCAATGAAAACCTGATGGTTCTATATTGGCATCAATCTCTTCTGGACTAGAGGGGAAAATAAATGTAGGAGCTGGAGGAATGGGCCCAGCATCAGGAAGCATTTCACCACAGCTAGCCTCAGCACTTTGAGTTGATTTGCCCTTGCACTGCTCTAAATGCGAAGCAAAAGACTTCTTGTTAAATAACCCTAAACAGTAGATGCAATAAACACTATCATCAAATGAGCACTCCGGTGCAAACTTCCCAAATGGTTTTAAATCTTGTTTACTACTTTGAACCACATTTGTGTTGTGTAGAACATTTCCCCTAGTTTGTAGATGGTTAAAAAGTTGTTTCCTTTCTTGTGAGCTCTTGTCAAAGGTAAGAGCTTTTGCCACCTCTGGTTCATTAGGATGAACTGACTGAAGATGATCCATCATTCTATAATGTGGCTGCTTGCAGTAAAAGCAGTGATGTATCTTGAATACGCTGGAGTTGTCATCAGTGGAATTGGTTTGGCATCCAGGACCCTGTTTTTGCAAAGGAGGAACAATAACAAATAATTAATGCATCCACATTTTAAAAGAGCATAATAAATTAAATAATCAAATAATATAATAATTCTAAATTCTTTGTATGGTCAGTTTTTGCATATTAGCACTAAAAGATCGGCACGTTTCATTATATGTATAATACTACGGCAGAATTCTATCAAAGGTAAGCACTAAAAGCTTGCATCGCAAAAAAAAAAAAAAAATTTTTTTTAAATTAACCTGAGAATGAGAACTTGGACAACTTTTCTTTGACTCCTCTTTCAGACGGCTGATCTGGTAGACTCTTTTTCTCTTTTGCTTGCTTGTCACTGATATGCTTGAGTCATGTTGAACTTCAACAGCACAATCAATGCCATTCTCATCAGTGATCTTCTCAGGGTCTTCTTGAAGATCACACTCTTGGAATTTAAGGTAAGACATGTGTCCTACGGCTCTGGATTTGATTTCTTGAATAGAAGGAACGGACTTTAATTCTAGATCAGCTGTTGGCTGATTCCCACTCCTGCCAGCATCTGGATTTTCAATACTTTCAGGCTGCTGACACTGGGTTTGTTCAACGTTATAGCTATTAGGATCTGGAGTATGGCGACTTTCAGGTTCTAGATGCACATCAGAGCTGCCTGAGACCATGAAGATGTTCCTTTCTACATCTGAATCTTGGGTTTGCTCTGTCTCATTACTGCCCAAATACGTATCATCAAACACAGCTAGCTTAAGAGTACACTTTGAATCTGCATTGCATTCTGAAGAAGAGTTTAAGGGTGCAGGACTTGAAGGAACCTTTGGTTTTGAAGAGAGCTGAAGGCTGTCACAACACCCAGTATCACAAGAAGAATAACCATCAGGTTCTAAATCACAAGACACCTCTGGATCTGAAGAAAATGGTTGGTTCACAAGTCGGAGATGATCTGATTGTTTTATAAGGGACTGCTGAAGAACATTGCAACCACTGTTTGAAAAAGGAAGGGTTGGAACTGTAGATTCTACGACTTGTATTGCTTGACAGGAATCTAGTATGGGAGGTTCAAGTATCTCCACATCAGGGTTCCGTGATGTACTAAATGAAGATTCCAAATAAGGAGGATTTATTGCAGAACATTGGCAAGAATCTAGACCAGATGGCTTCAATAATTGTGCATCAAGATCAATTTGAGCTATGCTGCCGTCAATGTTAGAAACAGTTGGCCCCTTCACTTCTGGATAATAGGTTTTTGGAGCAGCACTCTGGCAAGAGTCAAGATTAGGAGGGCTTGAGGATTTCAGATCACAAACCTTCTGTGCTGGGCTGTCACTAGTGCATAGAATTTGGGAATGATCTGACACTAAAGTATGGTTCTCCTTCGCCTCACATATCCTAGTTTCTGGTATAGGGCGATCACGTAAATCTGAGAGATTTGACACAGGAGCATTAGTTGGCTCTAAAGGTCTGGAGATGCCGATAGTGTCTGGAGCAAGATTTCCCAATTCTGCATCAAACATTTCCTGAGTTTTGCTGGATGCAGCTGGATTCATGCTATGCTTACATATAAGAGCATGCTCCCGAAATTTGTTCCATCCAAAAGACTCATGGCAAAAAATGCAGTGAACAATATCTTCATCACAATCGATTCGAGAATCTCTAGGTTGGTTGAAGTTCTTTTTAATAGCAAAACTGCTCAATAACTGTTTCCTTTCTTTACAGTCTGTGTCAAGATTTAAAGCTTTTACCACTTCAGGTTCTTTTGCGTGATCACACTTCAGGTGCAGTTCTATCTTTCTACATGCCTTCTCACAAAACTGACAATATAGTGCTTGCTTTACTTTTTTTTGTTCTCCGCTGCTCACTGCAGTCTTGCATCTACCATCAGAGGTTTGATGGGATGTGAATAAAGGCATTTCGAATCCTTCAGAACTTTTCACAAGTAACTCACAAGTTTTCACATTTTGTACAGGTGGTTCAATTGTCCCTGAGATTTCAAAGTTGTCAGTTGAATCATCCAGAACAGATTCTGACATCTGACATTAAGAAAATTCAAAAGAAAACAGTATAAATATAAATTGAGATTTCTCTGTTCATGTATTTACATATCTCTTTACATTTCCACAGATCGATTAAAGGGGTCATATGACGCTGCTAAAAAGAACATTATTTTGTGTATTTGGTGTAATGCAATGTGTTTATGCGGTTTAGGGTTAAAAAAAAAACAATTTTTTCTAAATATTGTACATTATTGATGCTCCTCTATGCCCCGCCTTTCTGAAACGCGTCGATTTTTACAAATCTCATCGTTCTGAAAAGCGAGGTGTGCT